CATGATTACAATAGTCTTGAAATATTTTAATGAAGATTATAATGTTATTCAAGTATGCTTTAACAAAATTTTCTTTGTAGGGTCCAAGAAGTTTATCCATGAGATGTTGAAAAGTAACAGAAGCATTGCATAATCCAAAAGGCATAACATTGAACTCATAAAGTCCATATTTTATGATGAAAATAGTTTTCTTTTTATTCTCATCACTCATGGCTACTTGCCAGTATCCACTTGCTAAATAAAGACAAGTGAACCATTTAGCACCTTGGAAGAAATCTAAAAGATCATCAATCACTGGAAAAGGGTAGACATCCTTTTCTGTAACTTTATTTAATTTTCAAAAATTAACACAAAATTGTTTCTTGCCATTTTTCTTTGATACAATTACAACTGAAGATGCCTACAGAATAGAGGTAGAACTGATGATTCCTTTCTTTAGCATTTCACCAATTTCACACCATATGAAGTCTTATTGATCAGATAATGTTCTATATGCATGTTGCTTGATGGACTTTGCATTTCCTATATCAATAAAGTGTGTGATTACAGTGGTTTTTTCTAAATCTTGAATTTGATCTTCTTTGGAGATATGTTTTACAAACCTATTTTCATTTTCATTTATAATTTTGTTAACTATTTCTTGTTGTTCATCAGTAATTAAATTAATTTTAAGTGTTGTTTCTTGATTAATCATGTAATCAGAGAGGTCGATTGCTGGATTTTTTTCAATTTGAACTTCTAGTTCTTTATTTTCTTCGTGTTTCTTATCTCTTTTAGCATAGTTAGAGTAGTAGGTCTCTTGTTCTTCCAAATCCTCATTATTATACTCAAGTTTTTTAAGTTTATCATTACTGTTTTTTGAATCTATAATGTACTGAGGTATTTCATTAGTGAAGTGGATAGTTGCAATCTTAACAGTTTTATCCTGATGTTGAATCTGTAAGGTTTGAAAATCAAAATTTCACTTGACTCTCATCTTTTAGAATCAATTAGTTCCCAAAAGAAAAGTTTCCTTTTGAGATTCAATGACTTGGAGTTTGATCAAGATAATCAAATTTTAAATTCAGATTTGAACTTTAGTAATCTGACCCAATGCATGGACTTTGTTTCCATTAGCAGTAACTACAATAGTTTGAATGAAGTATCTGATTCCAATTCTAACTTATGTATCAATTTGTTTGTGATGATACTGACAGTAACTCTTGAATCAAAAATGGGGATCATAGAATTTTCTTTGATTCTGATATAGCATTTAGCCAATGAAGTCTTTCTAAAGTCATTTTCTAATTGAATATTGTTGGTTTCAACTGTTTTTTTTGGTCTTTTGAGAATCTTGACAAGATTCTTTCATTGGTTAAGGTATTGAAACATTTGTCTTAAAATAGTACTTGATTGCAATTTGAGAATATCTTCAGAAATGTCATATGGTATAAGCTTATCAATCATAGATGGTTGGGACTTCATTTTTGGCTTCTTTGTTTTAGCTGCAATAAGTTGTACTGGAGAAGGTTAGTAATAAATAAATGTATATTCTATTTCTATCAGTTAAGTAGTATTCTTTGATTGCAGATTAAATTTTTTTGCAGATTTTGATCATTTGACTTTTTTTTTCTATTCTTTTTAATTGGTAATATAGAGTTGTGATCTGGCTTTTTGTTTCACATATACAAGTTCTTCTTCTTTACTGGATACTTTTTCATTAGAGATATCTTTGATTGTAAGATAGTTTATATGTTTTTCTTTCTAGACATATTGATTTCATTAGTAATATTGCTAGGTGGGCATAGATCTCTCAAATAAACAGTTACAGGCAATATGTCCTACTTGGCCACACTTGAAACAAGTTCTTGTATCTCTTTGTAGTATATATATTAGTGACAACTTAGAAGTATCAGGCTTATAGTAAGGCTTGTTCTTTTTTTTAACTCTAATGAAAATATTTTCAATTTAGTTGCAAACTTTAAATGCATCTTTTTAAACTTTTGGACAAGATTATCCATGAAATCTTGAGAAGCTTTTTTGTTTTTAAATCCAAAAGTCTTTTCTGGTTTGGCTCAAATAGGTTGTTTATAGTTAATAAGATCTTGACTATTTTCATATTGTTGAACAAATTATAATGCTGCAGTAACATTTGCAGGCACATTTATAGTTACAAGAGGAGCAACTTCAGGTCTTAATTCCTGAGGAAATAGTGAAGTTTCTGAAGGTCTGACATATTTTCTTCCAGATCCACTTATTTAATAAGTTTTTTAAAGTCTATATAATAGGAATCAACAGATTCGAAGAGATCTTGTCTTCTTCCTTCTAAGTCTTAAGCTATTGTTTTGTTATAGTTAAGTATAGAACTTTTCTTTGAATGCTATTTCAAGATCTTCTGGCCTATAGAAATCTTTGATATAATCAATTCCATTGGTAGTAACATATTTAATCTACCAATTTTCAACTTTATCTTGAAGGTGGGTAGCTAACATTTGTATCTTTTTCATTTGTTTCTATCCATTTACTTGACTTGTTTTAACAAAGATGGAAAATCAGGTCAAAGAATTAGAACTTGTATCTTTAAATAAGTTGTTCTCAATTAATTAGGTAGTAAAAGAAATATTAAGAAAAGAGAAAGGTTTAATAATTTTTATGTTTGCAGGGTCAAAAATGAAATTATAATAAATATTAAATACTTGAAAGGTTTCTTTAACAATCCTATCTAAGTGAACAGGTTTGGAGTATCTAATAAATAAGATTAATCATTCTATTGTACTGATATGGGAGAAGAAACTAACAGTTTATTGAACAAAGTAATAATAGGTTCTAAATAAATATTGGGTAGTAAAAAAGATAATATAAAACCAATTTCAAAAGTGATTAAAGTAAATATTATAATTTTTGATAGAAGAAAAGCAAATAGTACAAAATTTGTCTAGTTGTCTTTGTTAAAGAGTTTTCTTAGTTAATTTTGGATTGTTTAAGTGCAATTGGTTGTGCAAGTAATTAATGCTCATAAATGTTTGATAATTTATTATAAATCTTTTACTACGTATATTTTTTTTGTTAAACTTTGAATTCTGAATTACAGGCTTTCTTTTGTTGTAAATACCTCCAATATTGAACAAAGTTTTTATACAGTTTTCTTTAAGATTTGTTTCTTCACAGTTTTCTCAAGATAGGTAAGCAGTATTTCACAGTCACTACTAATTTGTCATATATCATTTTTACCTTAGGAGAAAAATAAAGATAGAAAACTAGTAGCAGGAAGGCACTTTAGATAGACAGGGCCAATGTGATATGCTAAAATTCTTAAAAACATACAAATAAGTACAATTCTGAGATATATGAGGTCAGGTGAAAGAGGCAATAATGATTTGTTTTGTAAAGGTCAAGATATTTATTCAATAAAATATATATTCAAGCCTGCCAATTTCTAGATGAAATTGAAGCCTTTATATATATGTTTAAGTTATAATATTTTCATACAGAATAAATATATGCTATAGTAAAAATATAAACTAAGATATAAATACTATCTTTAACAGAATATTCAACTGTGTTAGTATTTACATAGATAAATACTTTGGTAAAGATAATATAGAAAATAAAGATAAAATAAAATAAGAATATTCTAGAAATGATAAAGGTGCAAGAGATACAATAGATGCTGAAGGTACAGTAATAGATTAGTAATACAAAACTATTCTAAAAAAATTAACATTTCAAGAGTCAATGCTAGTGAAAATTGGATAAGGGTATTGAAGATCTTGGATGAAAATCAAGAGTAACAATAGAAAAAATCAAAATTATATATATATATATTTAAGATATATTATTTTTGGATATAATATATTATTTTTAAATTATATGAACTACTTAAATTATAAAAAAATATTAAAACAGTTAATTATATATCATATATTAGTATAGAAACAGATACTCTAATAAAGATAAATAAGTAAAAAAAATATAAAAAATATAAAATGTTGAAGATAGAAATAACATAAAAAATACAATGTATTGTAATAATAAATTGGTATTACAAAAATTAATATTTGCATTTATTTTATTATTACAATGATTTCTTATATAAAGAATCAAGATTATAAACAAAAATAAAAAAAATTATAAATTATTTTAATTAAAATGGTTTAATTTATTATTTTTCTTTTAAAACCGTTGTATCAACTTTTAGTAATAATAATTACTTATTTATTATAAAAAGGTATATTTGTTAATATTTGAAATTATTATTTATATAATAGAATGTGTTATTTTTATTTGATAAAGCAACTATATTTATTTTTTTAATGATAACTTGTAAATTAAAAAAAATAAATTAAACAATTCTAAAGTAATCAGTAAACTATTTTTTTACCAAATTAAAATTTCAAATATATTTTTTCGATTATATTAAAACCAATTTGAATTCCATTTACAGACTGTATATAGGATTAATTAATTAATAAAAAATATTTTTTATTTCATTAATTGGAAAATATCTTATAATAAAATCATCAATCCATAATTAATAGAAAAATTTTACAGAATGTGTATTTAAAAGATTTCTTTAAAAAAACATCAACTTGCATTATGGAAATTCCATTTGATGAATTAATTAATTTCTCAAATCCAGCCTTAGATTGTTATTTTGATATGATTTTTTTTATTTTTTTTGTGAATGACTTGAAATCAATATGAATGATGCATAGCGAAAACCTAGGAGTGGATACAGTATTGGATTTACCATTTCTGTATAGTAAACTTAGTATCAGAAAATTATAACACCAGTGTCTCGATAGAGAAGTAATGTTGCACGATAAAATATTAAATGATGCATGCTATCAACATGACTAGAACACTGATAATATTAAATGATGCATGCTATCAACGTGACTAGTCACTGATCAGACACATTTCTTAATGCTGAGTTTGCTATAGTAATAAGCCAAACATTCACTTTTAGGTTTTCGCTCTGCAGTGCTCTTATATTGTCAAAATTGGATATGCTGTAGATATCATGCATAATCATTTGTCCAAAGGATATCCACGGGCTGACCCATTCTGATGTAAGGTTGTCTGCTTTCAACGGATTTCCGCTCACTAAGAAATAAAAAAAAAAGCAAGAGATTTTATAAGGAAAGAGAGGGATCTTTAACTATTGGTTACATACGAATTTGGTATTAACAATAAATTCCAAGTATCCAATGAGAAATTTAATTTCTTGAAATCTAATCGATAATAATCTTCAGATTCCAAGTAAATGTTCTACATATTAAAGCGATAAGAATCCTAGTACAAAAAGCAGCAATAAGGTTTCTATGTACATATGATCTAATCCAAGAGATCAGTTGTAAAGGTGCTAAAGAAAAAAAGTAATTATTTACCTCGACCGACCATGCAATTACGTTACTATTGACAAACCGAAACTGCGAATAAGATAGTGTTGGTGTGGAATGGCGATATCAACGATGTAGAGTAATAAATCAAAGTGAAAAATAAGACCTACCTGCATAACGTTACTCGGCATAAACCCAGCAGACCCCGCGGACAATGTGACGAATTTTTTCATTATAGTTGACCATTTCAATCTAAACTTACGCTCACCCACTATTATCCGTATTGGGAATTTCAATTGGTCTGGAAGTCTTTACCAGAAGTTTCCTGTAGGGAGTTCTCTGTTGTGGAGTTATTTGTAGGGTGCACATCATTATTAGAATATGTATGATAATGTAGATAAACCACCACCGTGTGACCGAGTCATAAAATTTCATAACAGAAATATACCATAAGTATCTTGATCCTTCGAGTTGTGGCTCTTTGGGTTGAGACGGGTTCATAACAAAGGCTCACCCCCCTGAAATCATTGTGATAGTGTAAATTTTCAAGAACATACTGGAAAAAAAAAGTAAGTCACTTCATAGGATGAGGCCTAAAGTTATAAAAAGGAACCAGTTAATTGCAAATATGTGACTTGACAAAAAATAAATAACAATGAACGCCCATATTAAGAAATTACTTCCCGATTCCATCTAACGAGATTTTCAAGTAATATTATAAAGAATAACACCTTAATTAAATACTTTTAAAAAACTGGAAAAAGAAAATGCCCGGCTTGTCGGAGTCAATCAAACGCAGAACGGTGTGGCATAAATGAGATTTCTAAGCTCGAAAAAAAAGATTTTTTTTTTTATGATCGATAAACTTTAAATTTTATTCGAAAAAGAAAACGTGTCGTGAAGATTACAAAATTTCGAAAAGTTCGTATTGACGATATGGCGTATTCTCGAAAATATTCAAACGATAGATACTGAAAACGTCGGCAGTAACGATATACCGAAAAATTCCGCATTGACGATATATCGAAAACGTTCGTATTGATGATATGGTATAAGATACCGAACCATGGTAACGATGGCACGGTATAAGAGATATTTGAAACGTTTGCATTGACAGTATGGTATAAGTTCTTCCGTATCGATGGAAGAAGTATGGTATAAGAGTGACTTGACCACGAAAAGAGGCGTCCAAACGTGACTCGATAAAAAATATCCTATGTATGTTAATAAACCATATGTACAATATATAAAGTAAGTAGGTTAGCTAAGTTTAAATAATTTCACGTCAGTAATTATAAGAATTACCCTATGGATCGTAACTAAGGAATTCTATATCGCGTCTACCCAGAAACTTTTGCGTCACTACATAATAAAAGAAAAGTTTAATTTATCCACGCATATACTGTATATATAACATTACACAATCAACATGTAAATTTAAATAAGAATGATAAGAATAAAACTCGAAAAATGAATTAATCGCTTACAAATCGTTTGGACAAAGTAAGAGGGCATAGCTACATTCATGATCATGTCTAATTATAAAGTGAAAGGAATGTGAGATTGTAGCTCGCCGTCCCGCTAAAGAAAATTTCATTGATTTTTTATATGAAATGAATGGGATGCCACAAAATAATCATCAGATATTCGCATAAAAACATAATGTCTTATCTGTTGAAGAGGAATGCATTTGGTTTATCAAAAAACCTTTTCCAAGCATACTTGCATCAGATAAAGTCAAATTTGGTCTTTTGTTGCGTTGTGACATTATTAAGAATACACAAAAAAAAAAAACATGCGCATTTCAATTCTTTTCTCATGGTAATGTTGATTCCTTATTCCTTGTTACAATGTTCCAAATACCGCCAAAGTAAGGTAGAACATAAAATTTGGGGTGCCCAATATTATTTATGTGGAATAGCTGTGTATGATGTCCTCCTATAGAATACCCAATTAATCTACGCGAATAAGAATAAAACATTTCTTTTACGTACATATTGATTGGCAGAAAGATATGCACCATTGAAATACCCAAGATGAGGGTAATATACACCGTAATTAATTATTTAATTATTTATGTATTTAAAGTTTTAGTATTCAAAAACAAAGTTTCTGAGAAATTTATCAATTTATCGTGCCAAAAATTATTCATGGTATCATTAATCCGAATTTCCCGACCAATGTCGTTCCTATATACAGTTACTCGGTAGGACCGCATTATCTGATTGAGTAGGATAAATTTGGTTAAATTCAATTAACGATCATTTATTAGTCACCTTGCATTGAGTTCGGGTTTTTTTTTCTTTTGATGGGCACCTTACATTACAATAACGGATTTTTTTTCTTGATGAGCATCTTACATGATTTTACGATTGTCCTTTAATTACAAAAAAGAAATAAAACTATGAAAAAGAGATTAGAAGCGATCAAATAAATAGGACGAGTAGAAATGGAAATAAGAATAAATTGAAAGGGCAAAGAGGTACAAATAAAAATAGAATAAAAGATGATTAATAAAAGAAGTGCAGTGTGTCAAAAAAAAACAACAAATCACTAAAGATAAATGAATGAATATGAGAACAGATAGGCAAAATTAAAATAACGATAAATAAATAAATAAATAATAAGCAATAGAACCAAGAACAGGAAAAAAAGTAAATTCAAAAAGAAAATTAATGCTATTCACTGTTCAATTTGAAATTAAATTCAAAAAAAGTATGCATTAATTTCAAAGGTTAAAAAAAAATACTTTTGAGATCCCCATTATCATTTTTGCCGTCTTCAAAAATAATCCTACAATTGAAAATATTAAATTTCAAATTTTCATTTTCGTTTTCAATAAAAAAAGGTTGATCACTCAAATAATTTATTAAGAACACTCATATTTCTTTGAATGCTAAATTCTTAAAATTGCTGTATTACCAATAATAATCGTAATAATAAAGTTTGGCAAAGTGTAAAATATATTGTATTGTTACCAAAAGAGGAACTTAAGGCATGCCGTCTTACATTATGATTCATCCAACGGCGGAATTAGCGCGGCTATGCATTTTCCATGTGACTGATCGATCACCGGAAACTGATCCGTGAATGTACTGTACAGTATACTGTAATGATTTGATACGGTTGGTAAACAATGCAATATTAATAATTAAATCTCTATTTGCTATTTATTTTACTGATTGTTATTTTTAATT